GAATTCCCTCAGGCTACCCCTTGATAGCCATACTTAACCCCTTTCTGCATATCCCTATCCCCTGACAACCACTTATCTGTTCTCCATCTTTTTTGTTATTTCAAGAATGTTATATATAAATGGAGTCCTGAAAAAGTGTAACTTTTTGAGATTGGCTTTTTTTCCTCAGCATAATGCCCATGAGGTTCTTCGAAGTAATTGTGTGTATTAATAGTTTGTTCATTTTTCTTGCTGATAGTATTTCTCTGTATGGATGGTTCTGTTCTGCCAATACTGCATTGTCTTGTTTACTCTATATCATAAGTCTTTTTAAAAAAAATTCATCAATCTGCATTTATTCTTTGAGAACCCAATATGTGATTTTTTATTGAGGTATGATTGTCATGGAGTATCCGCTTAGTTTCAGGTGTACATTATAGTGATTTGATACTTGATCCTTTTGAAGCAACGATGAGTCCAGTTATCTATTGCCATGTAAAATTGTTACAATTTCACTGACTATATTCCCTATGCTGTACTTTATATCCCCATGACTTATTTTATAACTGAAAGTTTAAACCTATAATAAGTCTTGAAATTAGATATTATGAGTCCTTCAGCTTTCTTCTTCATAATTGTGTTGGCTATTCTAGGGCCTTCCCTTTTCATATGAACTTTAGAATGAGCTTGTCTGTGTACAAAATACTTTGCTGGTGTCTTGATAGGAATTCATTAAACCTATATATAGGCATTTGGGGGAGTATTGACATCTTTAGTGTGTTGAGTTTTCTAATCCATGAACATGGTAAGTTTCTCCCAGTTTTTAGATCTTCTTTGCTTTCTTTCATCAGTATTTTACATTTTTCAGCATACATATCCTCTTCATATTTTGTTGGATTTATACTTTAGTATTTCCTTTTGAGGGAGCAGTTATAAATGATGCTGTGTTTTAAAACTTTGGTTTCCACTTATTTGTGTTTGCATATAGAAATGAAGTTGATTTTCATGTTGATCTTTTATCTTGCAACCTTGCAAAACTGTCTTATAAGTTCTGGGAACTTTTCTTGTGCATTCCTTGGGATTCCCTCTATAGACAACCACGCCATCTAAAATAAGGACAGTTTTATTTTTCTTTTCCAATGCGGATGCCTCTTCTTTCTTTTTCTTGCCTTATAACAAAGGCTAGGATTTCTAGTACTGTGTTGCTTATGAGTGATGAGAATGGACATCCTTACCTTTTTCTCAGTCTTAGAAGGAAGGTATTCAGTCGTTCACCATTAAGTATGTTGTTTGCTATAACTTTTCCTGTAGGTATTCTTCATGAAGTTGAAGATCCCCTCATTTCCTAGTTTGCTGAGACCTTTTTATTATGAATAGTGTCGAATTTTTAAAAAATATTTTTCTATGTCAGTTGATATGATCATACGATATTTTTTCTTTAGCTTATTGATATGTATTGCATTGATTTTTTTTTTCATATTATACCAACCTTACATACTTGGAATACATGTTACTTGGTTGTGGTGTACTAACTATTTTGGATTCAATTTGCTAATATTTTCGTAAGGATTTTGCAGCTAAATTTGTGAGATATACTGGTCTTTACTTTTCTTAATTCTTGTGATGTCTTTGTCTGGTTTTGGTATTGGTAACAATTGGTTTCATAAAATGAGTTGGGATGTGTTCCCGCTTCTTCCATTCCTGGACAACGTGTAAAATGGCAGTTAATTCTTCTGTCAGTGTTTGGTAAAATTCTCCAGAGAAACCATCTGGGGCTGGGGAGTTTTTCAAGAACTTTTAAATTACAAATTTGATTTCTTTAATAGTATTTTTATTATTCAGGTTACCTATTTTATCTTGAGTGAGTTTCGGTAAGTTGTTTTCAAAAATTGGCCCATTTTTTTCTAAATTGTGGAATTATGAGCTAAAGTTTTTTTGTTGTTGTTGTTTGTTTGTTTTTTAAGATTTTATTTTAAAGTAATCTCTACACCCAGTGGGGGGCTCAGACTTAAAACTCTGGTTTCAAGAGTTTTATGCTCTACCACCTAAGCCATCCAGGCACCCTGAGCTAAAGTTTAAAGTTGTTTGTAGTATTCTCTTACCTTTTTTAAGAAATTGAAGTAGAAGTTGTATAACATAAAACCTACCATTTTAAAATTGTACATTTTAGTGGTTTTTAGTATATTCATGGTATTTTGCAACCGCTGTCTAATTCCAGAGTATTTTCATCACCCCAGAAAGACATCCCTTTCCCATTAAGCAGTAATGTCCCATTATCTTCTTTCCTAGCCCCTGGCAAGTAGTAATATGAATGGATTTGTAGTAATGAAGTAATGAAGTAGTAATTCTGAATGGATTTGCCTGATGGGACATTTCATATAAATGGAGCCATACAGTTTGTGATTGGTTTATCCCACACAGCATAACGTTTTCATGTTTATCCATGTTGTTGTGTATATCAGTACTCAGTCTTTGGTTCATGGACCCATCACTCTGACCTCTACTTCCATTATTTCATCTTCTTCTCTGACTTTCCTGCCTTTCTCTTATAAAAGAAAGACCCTTATAATTATCTTGGGCCCATCCAGATTATCCAGGGTAATCTTCTCATCCTTAATTTGACTTAATAACACGTGCAGAGTCTTTTTGCAGTATAAGGTAATGTTAACAAGTTTCAAGGATTAGGACATGGATACTTTGTGGGAGGCCATTATTTTACCTACTGCATGGACTTTAGATTTTTTATATTATCCACTGCTCCCTGAGGCTCTGTTCTTTTTTTTTTTTCCCAGTCCATTTTCTCTTTCTTGTTTATTTTTTATTTTATTTTCGGGGGGGGGGTTGTCAAATTTTATATCAAGATAATGTATAACAATATACACTTTTTTAAGTATAGGAAGAGATAATTCTAGCTGCTTGGAGAAACAAAGGATCAAGTTGGAATTTACTGACAGCTTTAATTTATTTACTTAATTTATTTATTATGTTATGTTAGTCACCATACAGTACTTCATCAGTTTTTGTTGTAGTGTTCCATCATGATTCATTGTTTGTGTATAACATCCAGTGCTTTTTGCAATACGTGCCCACTTCAATACCCATCACAGGCTCACCCATCTCCCCAGGCCCTCCCCTCTAAAACCCTCAGTTTGTTTCCCAGAGTCCACAGTCTCTCATGGTTTGTCTCCCCCTCCGATTTCCCCTCCTTCATTTTTCCCTTCCTTCTTCTAATGTCTTCCATGCTATTCCTTATGTTTCACATATAAGTGAGTGAAACCATAGATGAGTAAACTGTTGATCTTGTCCTCAGGACTGAATTTATCCTCCTTCATCTCCATTGTTGAACCTATATACATCACTATTTTTATTTTGGAAGTTGCATATTTCAGTTGTATACATAATTTCTATTTGGTAGTTTTTTGTTTTTTTTTTTTAAGATTTTATTTTTTTGACAGAGACCACAAGCAGGCAGAGTGGCAGGCAGAGAGAGAGGAGGAAGCAGGCTCCCCGCCGAGCAGAGAGCCCGACATGGGGCTCGATCCCAGGACCCTGGGACCCTGGGACCATGACCTGAGCCTAAGGCAGAGGCCCTAACCCACCGAGCCACCCAGGCGCCCCCTCTATTTGGTAGTTTTTTAAAAAAATAACTTGTTTCTTTGCTGAAATATTCTATTTTTTTTTTTATTTAAGAGAATTCTTAATTGTTTATTGAAGTATTTTTATGAAAATAGCTTTAAGATTCTTGTCAGGTAATTCCAGATTGTGGTTCATTTTGGTGTTGACATCAGTATGATTCTGTTTCTTACTCGTGTGTTTTTCTTGGTGTGTGATTTTTAAAAATTTTATCCTGGACATCTAAGATATTAATATGAGGAGAGTCTTTATCTTGCTTAAATCTTCTATTTTAGTAGGCAATAACTCTATTTAGGGTTAGTGTGTAGGTTCTGGCCTGCTTTTGGGAGCTGTGTATTTTCTGTGATAATTTAGTTTTCGGAGCTCTTGCAGTGCTATTCTCTTTATTTTTCTGGCATCACAGGAGCTCCTGCTTGATCTCTACAGGTGTTGCCTGGGCTGACTGGTGGTTTGGGTCCCCATCTCTGCTACTGCTAAGGGCAGGTTGGCTGGACATTGCTCCAAGTGTGGCAGATCTGGCCCACTGCTGTCTGGGGATGGGGTGGAGACCCTGCTGATGCTGATGTTGTAGTGAATTGGGGTCCCCTGCTATCCTGGATAGGGGCTGGGGAGTCCTGGGGAGGGTCTCTCTCCCCTCTAGGTCTCTGCTAAGCTAGGTCTCTGCTAATACTTTTACAGCCCTTTGTCCAGAACGCAAGATTTTCTCTTTTGTCTATCTGTGTTGGTGGTTCTGGTTTCAGGCTGTTCATGGATATGTGGGAGATAAGAGGAAAACTCAGTGAACTCACAGTGGTGCTTTTCCTCACATCCAAAGACCCTTAACTCATCTACTTTCTTTCCACCTGTTAGGGTCATTGTATGATTGTCTGTTAAGTTATTTCTAGGGTATTCAGTTGTATTGAGAGGAGAGGAGCAGGGAAGTGCGAGCCTGTGCCATCATACTTTAGAATTGGAACTGTAGCCATTTTGATTCTTCCTCCCTGCTGGTGTTTATTAGGAATTCTATGAAATGGTCAAGGCTTTGGCTTTTATTGACCGACACCTTACTTTTTAGGGTGTTATCTGTTGTTGAGTGTAGGAACAAGGTAAGAATTATTCTCTTGTTTATTTTATTATTCATTTTTCTTTTTAGAGAGAGAGAAGAGCATGTGCATGAGCTGAGGATGAGGGGGAGAGGGAGAGAGAAAGTCTTAAGGGGAGCCCAGTGTGGGGCTCAGTCTCACAACCCTGAGATCAGGACCTGAGCTGAAATCAAGAGTTGGATGCTTAACTGACTGAGCCACCCAGATGCCCTGAATTATTTTCTTGTTTAAATTGTGTGAGAATTAGACATGTCATGTTCTTATCTATTCATCTATTTATTTACTAATTTATGTATTTATCTTTAGGGAGTGGAGCAACGGCTGTGGTCCAAGCAGCATATTGTGCCCCTAAGAAGGAGAAAGTGGCAATCAAACGGATAAACCTTGAGAAATGTCAAACTAGCATGGATGAACTCCTGGTATGCACATCTCATGTTTTTTATTGAGAAATATACTCCTATTTGTATTCATGTTGGAGTGGGAAATAACTTGAAAATTTTAATTACTTTTCTAAAGAAAAGGCATTGTGATTGGCTCAGTAAATAATTCTTATTGTAAAATATAGAAAAATCCAGGTAAATAGGAAAAATTGGTTGTAATCCTCCCATTCTGAGGCTAACACTTGCTATATAGTCTTTCAGAATATAAATACATATATATTTCATACATTAAAATATTTTTGTATTTTTATGATAATGTAATCATTTACTTGTTCTTTTCATAGAGAAATTTATCAAATTCTGTCTATAAATATGAATTAAAATGCCTTTCAGTTTGTGTGTAGTGTTCTGTTGCATAGGCAGACCACATTTTATTTAATCTATTTCTTGTATCGGACAATTACCTTTTTCCTCTTTTTTGTTGTTTTAAATAATGCTTCTTTACTTTTTTCTTTCCTTAAACTAGTTTCATGCAATTGTGATACCTGGTCGATGGAATATGCTTTAAAATGCTTTGGCCTCCTAGGAACATGGTACCAATCTGCATTATGACCATTGATGCAAGATGGGAAGTAGAAGGTGGTGTTGCCTTCTCCAAAGGCTATGGAAAAAGAGAAGAAAGGGAGTCTTGGGGATTAATAGTTGCAAGAGATGTTCTATGGCATTAAAAGCTAGACACACAGGGATTTTGTACTTCTTTATGAGCCACGGAACCCAGAATTGTTTGAAGTATGTAGTAAGTGCTCAGTAAAGGATATGAAGTAGATTTTCAAATCATTTAACTTTGTAAATCCTGTTTCTTTGGCTTAAAATGGAAATAATAACATCTGCTTCGTGTACCTCATGAGGTTTTTCTTTTAAAAGATTTTATTAATTAATTAATTTACTTACTTAGTGGGGAAGGGGTGGAGGAAGAGAGAATCTCAAGCAGACTTCACACTGAGTGTGGAGCCCGATGCAGGGCTTGATCTCACAACCCTGAGATCATCACCTGAGCCAAAATCAAGAGTTGGATGTTTAACTGAGTGAGCCACCCAGGTGCCCCCTTCATGAGGTTTTTCTTTGAGGATGAAATGATCTAGTACTTGAAAAGTATAAACTGCCATACAAATAGGAACTAATGTTATTTTATTAAGTATTTCTTTTATTAAGTATTTCTCTAAGGTCACATACAGCTAGTGATAGAGAGGCAGGAATTAGCACTGAGATGTTCTGACATTCCAGAAGTCATTGTGTTCCCAGGTTGGATTTAATTTCTGGTGGAGCCTGTACTGAGTATTAGGGAATATTGGAATAAAAGGAAAAGAGATAATAGAATTATGCATTGAACTTTTAGGAGATTAAACAAAAGCATGTCGGGGCACCTGGGTGGCTCAGTGGGTTGAAGCCTCTGCCTTCGGCTCAGGTCATGGTCCCAGGGTCCTGGGATCGAGCCCCGAGTTGGGCGCTCTGCTCAGCAGGAAGCCTGCTTCCTCCTCTCTCTTTATCTGCCTGCCTCTCTGCCTACTTGTGTTCTCTGTCAAATAAATAAAATCTTCAAAAACAAACAAAAATAAAAAAAACCCAAAAGCGTGTCTTCAGAAGTTGGTAATGTGTGAGTAGAAACTAAAGAAAAAATTTGCTATAGTGATCTTGAGCCGCTTTTGTGAGAGAATATACACTTGAAAGGACATGCTGACAGAAATCGTAGGTGGTGATCTTGCATTTAGAGATGCCTACAATCCCTTGGAGCATCATTTGGATATTTGAACTGCAATCATCATAAAAGAAGGCTGTAAATTATAAACTAAGTATTTTGAGGGAAAATCAGAATTTTTAGCCTATATATATTGACTGGAATTTGAGAAGCCCGGTATGAATTTGTATCATTTGCCAGTTATTTTACATAACCCATAAGGATAGCATAAAGGTGAATGAAAGTCTTATTTATTACCTCATGACTAAAAAGAAATGGAAGTTCAAAGTTTAAATAACTTGACTGTGCTCACATGATAGTAACAGCAAATATCTTTTTAGTGATAGGCCCTTAAGTGTACTTTACCCTCATAAATGCCTCCATGAGACAGGTGGTAGCTCCATTTTAGATGAAGGAAGTAAATCATACAGTAAGTGACAGTCTGGATTAAAAATCAGGTCTTTCGGGGCGCCTGGGTGGCTCAGTGGGTTAAAGCCTCTGCCTTCGGCTCGGGTCATGGTCCCAGGTTACTGGGATCGAGCCCCACGTCGGGCTCTTTGCTCAGTGGGGAGCCTGCTTCCTCCTCTCTCTCTCTCTGCCTGCCTCTCTGCCTGCTTGTGATCTCTCTCTGTCAAATAAATAAACAAAATCTTAAAAAAAAAAAAAGGTCTTTCTGAGTAAAGTCTGTTTCCTACTTCATCTAATAGTAACTAATTATAATCTTGGTTCAAAAGTCAAAAGAGCATCTGTCAGATATTTGACATCTTGAAAATAATATTTATGTTACTACACTAGGCCTTACATGTAGAGGAGTGCAAATTTGGTATAGCATAGTAAAAGAAAAAAATAAATTAGACCTTCATCATTTTGTCTGCATAGTCCAGTAAGCTTTATATTACAAATAAAGTATTTATATATTTGGCAAATAAGTAAGGGGATGTGACTTTTAGTAAAACATCTAACAAATTTATTTATTTGAGAGAGAGAGGGAGCATGAGTGGTAGGGAGGGGCTGAGGGAGAGGTAAAAGCAGACTGTGCTGAGCACAGTGCCCCATGCAGGGCTCCATCCAAGGACCCTGGGATCATGACCTGAAGGCAGACACTTAAGGGACTGAGCCACCCAGGTGCCCCTTAGTAAAAGCAAATTTAAAACAATTGGCCTTTTTGGAGGGCAAACAAGTGAGATCCCATTAAAGTCCGAAGAAACATTGGGAATATAAAGAAGACTGGTTTATTTGTGGTGTTCGTAGTGTCAGGGCCCTGAGATCTGAGTGAGAAGGGCTCAGTTTCTAAGAGATAAGAAGCCCTTTAGTTTTAGATCAGAGTACCAAACTTGTGGTGTCGTGATTTTAAGTTTGTTTTCAAAATGGTCTCTGCTATAATGTAGAAAGGGTGCTGATGCAAATTATGTTCTGGGTGTGTATCCTGTGTGACAGTTACTGGTGAGGAGGTAGTATATTGCTCCTTTTTCTTGTCAAAATGTTTTCTTACCTGACAACCTTTGCTAAGTGTGATGGGAAAATCAGCTGTAAAATCTTACTACACTTACCTTTTCCAGAGCTGTTACTCACAGGCACACTAGGCAGTGTTTTGAGCTTTTTCTCTTCTCTGGTAGTTGCTAGTACTAGATTCATTGGCCAGAGAGCTGAAGGGAACACAAGAGGCATAAAATATCTCTCATTCTACTGGGAGGCTCACAATCCAGTTGAATGAAGAGTTAACACTCTTGTCTCCTGTACAGGACCAAGAGGGACAGATGCCTAGGAGAGGTGTCAACCACTGTGAAGTAAGAGGAGGAGGTGTGCTCCTAGTTACAAGGATGGAGGCCTCTGTGGAGATTTTTATGTTCTGGCCCACCAGGGCTGGGGACGCTTTGAACAGACAGAGATAGAAACCTTACCAGGCAAAGGTTTAGAATAAGAAAAGAATTAGTTATGTATATATTCATAAATACTAATATATAACTGAAACAATATTTTCATAAAACAATTCTTAATTATATTCTGTAGAACGTACTCTGATTTTCTATTTCTTTTTTGTTTCTAACTTTATCTACTTAGTTTGTGTCGTGGCCTGTGTGGGTTGCAACCCATGGTTTGAGGTACACAGGGCCACACAAAGAGGTATTAAGACTCTGAACTCAGGCAGTGACAGTGATAAGGGAAAGAAAAACACATTTCCTACGCGTTTTATAGATGGAAGAATTGTTTTATTTATTTTTTAATTTTTATTTTTTTAGTAGGCAGCAAAGCAGGGTTTATTGAGCAATAGCAAAGTGATAGCACAAAGCTCCCAAGGAAGGAGGGGACCTGAGAGGGGTGCCTGAATTGTTAATTTTAGAATGAACATTCCATGAGGGCAGGGACTTTATTGTGTTCAGTAAATAGGAATGAATGAGTAAATTAACATTGCTTGGGGACTGACTGAATGGTGTGAAGTGGAGGTAAACTGTTTGTGTTGGGGTAATTAGAAAACCAGGAGTAAATGTTAGAAATCAAGATGAGTGAGTTCCAGGAAAGAATGAAAAGTCATCATTAAGCAATGCTTGAGAAAGCTTCAGGTGGAGAACAGAGAAATCCACAGGAAAGCTCTGGCAGCAGCAGGTAACAGGACTTTAAAGAAAGTCCTTTCAGTGAGACGGATGGAATTTACTTCAGTGTGGGAGGGAGCTACTGGGAAACTTGAGTCAGAGTGAATATAGCACTTTCACAGAGCACTTACATACTTATTTTTGCTTTTGAAAGGAAAGGGAAAAGGATAACTCCAATGGGAGTTAAGATAAAGGAACCCCTCTCTACCCCTACCTTTAAAGGAATAGAAGAAAGAAAAGAAATATTTAAGGCCCTTTCAAAAGTTCGAATTTGATGGTTCTCTAATAGTCTCCTGTTAGAGGACCCTTGGTGGTTCCCTCTCTCAGGGTAGAGCTGAAAATGAAAATCCTTAGCTTCACTTTTAAGACATTGGACCATTTGACCCCAATTCTATGTGCATGAATTGTCACCCTCTGTCTCCCCTACCCTATCCAGTTGGTTACCAAGTCCTGTGGTTTGTACCTCTTCAGTATATCTCGTGACTCTTTCCTTTCTTTCCATTCATATTGCCATGTACTTTTAATTTATTTTTATTTATTTTTTTAAAGATTTTTATTTACTTATTTGACAGAAAGAGAGAGCACAAACAGAGGGAGCACCAGGCAGGGAGCCCAATGCAGGGCTCATCCCAGGACCCTGGAATCATGACCTGAGCTAAAGGCAGATGCTTAACCAACTGAGCCACCCAACCATCCTACCATGTATTTTTTAAAAGCTATTTTGAGGTAGTTTAAACTTCTGGAAGAGTTGCAGAAGAAGTACAGAAAGTTTCCAGATGCTGTTCACCCATCTTCTTCTAATAGTAATGTGATCACAGTGTGATTATCCAGACTGAGTGACTAGTTATTTATCATTTTTTTAGGCCACCGTCAACCGTCACCCAGGTCATAGCAATAGCGTTTGACAGTGTCTTTGGCTCTAGTCTTGCTTTCTCTCATTTATTTTCTATATTGCAGCCATAGTGATTTTTATGAAACAGTATATATAATTAAGCCTTTGATGCCATCCCTTTGCTGTTAGGATGAAGCCTAAATTCTTGAACACAGTTACACTGTCCTTTATGATATGGTCCCATGTGATTAAACAGTCAAACCTATAAAGTCTAGTTACCTTTCCTGTGTCAATGTAGTAAAACTTCTTATAGGAAGTTTTATTATTGAAAGGGTCGGTATACAAAAGGACGAGACTGATAAAAAGCGAAAGTTAAGCAGGGCTTTATTTCGCGCCAAGCATCGAGAATCAAACTGACCGGCCAGGGCTGTCTCTTGCAAAGAGGCGACCCCTCCCAGCCTCACAGACTAACTTTTATAGAGTAAAGGCCATGTGGTTGAGCCTGGCCACACACAGGTGGCTAGTTGAATTACATTCTACCCCATGATAGTTATCTAATTCAGCCTATGACCTTGGCTAGAATTGGTGCCTTTGTCTGGCCCAAAAGGCGGGGGCTCACACTCCCTGGCGGATAATACGTGTGCTTTTACTTGATTGGACGTCTCCGCCTGTCCGGACATGTCCTTGTATCTGGGCTCCGTTATTTTTGCCCAGCCTGACATGTCCTGGTATCTGTGCTCCGTTATTGGGGCTATTTGGCTGTATTTCACCAGTTCTGTTTCTAAGAGCTTTCCTCTTGGGGGGAAGGGGCAGGTTCAATCTGAGTTTACTGCATAAACAACAAAATGGCTCGCTCTGGCTAAGTAGGCCCTTACAGTTATCATTCCTGTTTTCTGATAATTTGCCTCTCCAGTGAAGTCATGTAGTATCTGGTACTTCTCTTATCCAGCTGTTTATCACTGTGTGTTGTTAAATTAGTATTTGCCTAATGTCTTCACCAGACTGTGGGTTTCTTGAGGACTCACCATTGTAGTCAATCACCTAGCACTGTGCCTGGCACCTAGTAAGCGCTTGGTAGATATTTGTTGAAAGCATGAACCACTTACCCTAGACAGACAGGTCTACTCATTCCATCCTAAAATATGTCTTGTATAGTTCATCTTTCTTTCTTTCTTTTTTTTTTTTTTTTTTGTAATTGTGTGTGCCTTGCAGTGCTGTAATTTCCCTGTATCCTGTAGAACCAAACCTCCCCTGAGAGGACTTCTTGCCTACCTTCACTCTTCTTTCCAATGAATTCTTGTAATATTTACTATCTTTACGACTCACTGGGAATATATGTTGCCATATATTTCTCTCATATGTCTTCTCTTATTTCTTTTAATCTTGTGTAACTATGTCAACAGGGAGGTGCTTACTTTAGTTTTACTTAGTTTTTAGTTCAGAAGACTGTGCTGGTGACTTTGGAGGTTGCAGAAATGTATATGACAAAGACCTTGCTAATAAAGGAATTTACATTCAGTTAGAGATGAGACAAGAAAAACTAACGTTCATGGAGCACTGCTTTTGAATCCAGTTTTGGGCAACTTCTACACAATTTATTTTTACTATACAAATATCAAGGTCATAGGGCAAGTACAGTACTTGAATAAGTAAAAAGTTTAATAAAGCACTATAGGATTTAATTCATTCAGTAAATATTTATTGCAGGTGTACTGTGTGCCAGGCAGAGTGGTAAGTGCCAGGAATACAGAGGCTCAGCTTTCATTGAGCTTAAAGTTTTGTGAAGGATACAGAAAAATAAGCAATTACAGTATAATATGATAAGTTCTGCAGTATTTAGGGAATCCACCTTTTTTCATGGATTTTTTAAATTCAAGTACAATTAACATATAGTGTTACATTAGTTTCAGGTGTGCAGTGTAATGATTCAACAATTTTGTGCATTACTAGTGCTCATCACAGTAAATGTTCTTTTAATTCCCTTTATCTCTTTCGCCACCCCCCCCCCCCCCCCCGCACTTCCCCTCTGGCAACCACCAATTTGTTGTGTGTATTTAAGAGTCTGGCTTTGTCTTTTTATTTTGTTTGTTTTGTATTTTAAATTCCACATATGAGTGAAACCATATGGTATATTTGTCTTCCTCTGACTTATCTCACTTAATGTTATGCCCTCTAGATCCATCCGTGTTGTTGCAAATGGCAAGACATCATTCTTTTTTTGACTGAGTAACAGTCCTGTGTGTGTGTGTGTGTGTGCGTATGCCTGTAATATGCACCAGCTTGCATTTAGGGATCCACTTTTAAGTACTTGCTTTCTGGAGTTCTCAGTCTACCAGGGAGGGATAGGTAAGTAAGTACCCAAGGTACTGCCCAGTGCCTATGTGCCATGATGTAAAGAGATACACAGGGAGTTTGGAAGACAAGAGATACCTAACTCAACTTGGGGAGCTGATGGAATTGATATTTTGGCTAGATTAGAAGGAAGAATTAGCATTTTTAGCCAGTGTAAAATAATGAGGGAGGTATATTTGAGGTAGAGGGAGCAATGCCATTAAATATCCATGGTTAGAAGAAGCATGGTCACCTGAAGTTTACTGTGGCTGGATCGTAGGGGTATATTGGGGTTGGGTCAGTGAGAGAGTAGGATTGAGATGAGAGAGGTAAGCAGGGCCCAGATCACTCAGGGCTCTATAAGTCCCTTTATCACACCCAAGCTAATCTAAATTCATAACCTGAGTTAGAGTAAGCTTAGAGGGAGCTCACATTTCTACTTTGGACTTGGTTTCTGACCTTTCTGTTTCAGGATATTTCTTATTAGAGTGAGAATTGTTAATTATTTCACAAAAATGGGAAGAAATAGTATTTTCAAAATAAGTACTGAAAATACTAAAAAGCACCCTCTACTTGAATAGACATTTTTCTAAGGAAGACAGCCAGATGGCCAACAGACACATGAAAAGATGCTCAACATCACTCATCACCAGGGAAATGCAAGTCAAAACCACAATGAGGTATCAACTCAAACCTGTCAGAATGGCTAAAATCAAAAAGACAAGAAATAACAAGTGTTGGCGAGGATGTGGAGAAAAGGGAACCTTCCTGCACTAGTGGTGGGAATATAAATTGGTGCAACCACTGTAGAAAATAGTATGGAGGCACCCCAAAAAATTAAAAATAGAACTACCATATGATCCAGTAATTAATTCTGCTCGTGGGTATTTACCCAAAGAAAATGAAAACACTAGTTTGAAAAGATTTTTGCACCCCTATGTTTATTGCCATAGACAAGATATGGAGGCAACCCAAGTGTCCATCTATAGATGAATACATTAAAAAAGAGGTGATTTTACACACACACAGATACACACAGTGGAATACTACTCAGCTATAAAATGAATGGCATCTTGCCATTTGTGACAACATGGATAGGCCTAGAGAGTCTTATGCTAGGTGAAATAAGACAGAGAAAGACAAATACCATATGATTTCTCTTTACACGTGGAATCTAAGAAACAAAACAAGTGAACAAAGGAAAAACAGACTATTAAATGCAGAGAACAACCTCACTGCCATTGGCTGCAGAGATGGGTGAGACAGATAAAGGGGGTTAAGAGATACAAACTTAGAGGTATAAAATAAGTAAGTCACAAAGATGGAAAGTACAGCATGGGGAATATAGTCAATATAATAATGTTGTATGGTGACAGATGTGACTACACTTGTGAGCAGTGAGTAATATATAGAATTGTCAAATCATTATACTGTATTCCTAAAACTAATACAACATTGTATGTCAACTATACTTCAGTACTTGAGTAATAGAAGTAAAGTAATGGGGTGCCTGGGTGGCTCAGTCGTTAAGCATCTCCTTTGGCTCAGGTTATGATCTCAGGGTTGTGAGATTGACCTCCAAGTCTGGCTCCCCACTCAGCGTGGAGTCTGCTGGAGATTTTGTCTTCCTCTCCCTCTGCCCCTCCGCCTGCTCATGTGTCTGCATGCCCTCTCTCTCTCTCAAATAAATAAAATTGGAAAAGAAAATAGACACTTTAAGACACGATAAAACAAAAACAAAACCACCCTCTATTTATTAGTAATTATCCTCTGTGGCTGTAAAACCAGGTTTCCCAAGAGAGTTTTTCAAGAGCACCTTAAAGAAGAACGTGTCCTTGTGGAGGCCTCTCTGGTGCTGTGTAAGGTTGTGATAAAGCAGGCATGTTTCTAATTAAAGAGGTTATGAGTGGAATGATCAGTCAGAATGGACTGAGGGAAACTGAGGAGTTTTTTGGTTTAACTGTAGATCCTGCAAAGGTTGTTATATAGTCTTGGGATTTTCAAATCTGAATTCACTAACTTGTAGTGTTGTTGAGGCTTGCATCTAATATATTATCATGTTTTCTCTTCTTTGTAGAAAGAAATTCAAGCCATGAGTCAGTGCCATCATCCTAATATTGTGTCTTACTACACGTCTTTTGTGGTAAAAGATGAACTGTGGCTAGTCATGAAGCTGCTAAGTGGAGGTGAGTAGAGTACAATGAAATGCTAACTTCCATTGGCTGGAAAGTTACTAAAAATATTCTTCTTTATCCTGGTTTGGTGTTGATGGATATTTGCTTTTGAGGACATACTGAAAATATAGTATCTGCTAAAGATGCTGGTATATGAGCTGAGACAGGTTTCACACACTGCATTTGGTTGCAAGCTCTTAATCTGTGATGATTCCCTCCAGCTTCCTCTGTTCCATGACAGAAATTTGTTGAAGGTTCTAGTCTGAAGGGTCTGAGAATAACTGTCTTGTAGAATGACCCACATTTTGGATTTATCTGCTTATTTCTTTCTGGTGATATTTAACTTGATTTGTATTCCCCTCTTTATGCAAATTGAAAATTGGACCTGAAAGTTGATTAGATTTAAGTTAAAATTTTTTTGACAATATTTTGACAAAATGCTGTGTATTCATAGTGCATCACACCAGGAAGTATTTGCTCTCTTGTTATATCTTTAATGGTGGTGTTACTTTTGATTGCTTAAGGTTTTGACAGCCAGGCCTCAGCCTGGAAAGGTTAACTTTTTTTCCCTTTGTAGCTAGCAGGTAATCTGTGAGATGATACTTGGGCACTTGTGAGTATCCAGAACCCCACCTAAGTCAGTCCGTCTTTCTTTCTCTTTCTTTCTTTTTCTTTCTCTTTCATTTCATTTCATTTCATTTCATTTCATTTCATTTCATTTCTTTATTTGAGAGAGAGAGAAAACACAGGCAGAGGGGAGGGGCAGAGGGAAAGGGAGAAGCAGACTCCCTGTTGAGCAGGGAGCTAGACACAAGGCTCCAATCCCACATGACCTGAACAGAAGGCAGATGCTTAACTGACAGAGCCACCCAGGTCGCCCTCTCCTATCCCCCACCTAAGTCTTTCATTTAATAATTCTAGCAACCATTCACAATCCTTATTTGAGTCAGTTATTCTGTCAAGGTTTGCAGAATGGAGACTTATTGCATCCTTTCTTTTACACGTATAAACTAGCATTCTTCTGTGTAAAGGAACTTTACCTTATTAACTGGGGCTCTTTGATTAATCTGTATTGTAGTTCCTACTAAAAATGGAAGATACATAATTGATTCTTTTTACTTAAGTACCGATTTTCAGAGTAAAAAGTTGGTTTAGTATTCACCTCCAGTGGTAGCAAATGAGAGGGTTTTCTTTTTTTTTTTTCCTTGTTGGGTAAGGCTTTCATTTTTTTATGCACACACATAGACACAAAGAATTTTACATATTTAGTGACTTCCAGTCAGTTTTACTCTATTTTTTTGATGCCCAGATTGTCCGAAACTTTGTCAGTGGGTCTCCCTTTAAGCTTACTCTTAGGTCCTTTTGACGTGAATCCTTTAGCTTTTGGTTCAGGATTTCTTAGGGTCACATTTTTATTGCTTTTCCCAGACCCAGAATCAGCCAGTACTCTAAGGGGTTCTGATCTTTGTTAGAAGAAAGTTATTTAGAGAACATAACTGGGATGTTGGGGATGTTCATTGCTACTACGTTGTCATCACTTCAAGTTGTAATAACTTGGAAATATAGTGTATTAAAAATTATGATTTGGAATTAGTGTTTCCAGTTCAAGTTTAACATTATAGACTTTTAAAACTTCTTAAAATTGTACTTGAATCTCTTTTCTCTTACACAGAAAATTTTGATCCCCAATATTAACATAGTTGATTATGGTGCTTTATCCTGCAGTATGTATACATACTGCTCAAGCCTTTAGAATAAAATGTAAGTATTGCTGACTCCCAACAGTGGACCATTGTCATGTATAGATTGAACATTTTGTTATGGTTACCTGAAGGCCCAAGTCATATAGTAAATTAGACATTTTGCCAAGGCATGGATTTGGATCATGAAGCAAGATTGGGAGGACCAGTGAGTGATGGAGCCACCAACCTTTCCATCACTATGCTTCTTGATTTTTGTTTGCATATGTATTTTGTATGGGAGCATGATTTCCCATTTTAGAATTGATAATACTGTATTTCATTGAACACCTTACCTCCCCAGAGAGGCTGTAAAAGAGCTCAGGCTCTAGAATTAAATTCCACTTTCCTACTTAGCAGGTTTATGTCATTGGGCAAACTTTTTAAACTCTTTGAACCTGTTAACTTTTCTGTCAAATGGGGATACCTTTCTGTATTTTAGGGTGTTGGGGTGTAGTGAATGAGGTGACGTATGTCAGGCATCTTTCATTGTGCTGACATATAGATGCACAGGAAATTTAGCCATTACTAATAATCCCTTGTTATTTGATGCTTTTCAGTGTAGCCAGAATCACCTTTTTGTTTCAATCCCATTAGTGACACACTGGAGAAACTGGATGGCTTTGTTAAAGGCCCTGTTCATATGATGGTTGGAATCCTTGCTAACACCAACCACCTTTCAAGATGGTGGTCAAGCATGGTTCTTTCAGTATGGACAGATATGGGAATATTAGGTAATACTGTATCTTTCATTATTGATCACCTATAGCATAATTTGCTTTATCTGTAATTTACAAAAAATGTATAATACAAAGTTTTTACTGTTTTGCTAAAAAGTCCTTTGATGAATAGGAATACATTGTCTTGCTTTATTCCTTCATCCATACCGGTATGCAAACCCATCCTTTCTGCTACTCCTAAGCAGAATGAATATATATTTTTTAAAGAATCTCTGTTTTTCTCTCAGGGAATATATATCCTGATCTTAGGAGGGGCAGGACATGTAGCTGGGTGGGATGTCTTTTAAATGTACCTCTCTGCCTTTCCTGGTCTTAGGTTTCCTGGGACAGTGCCCAATTTTTCTAGCCCTGGGACTCAGGAAATTTCCTGGAGGATACTTTTCAAACATGTTCCAGCCATTAACTCTCTTTTTAATTACTTCAATTTCTCTGAGTCAATATAATCTTATATCTAAACCTTTTAAGATATTAAAGAATGGACATCTTAGAAAAATGAAGTCTTGCTTTTCTAGTTATAAAGTGAGTAAACATTTAAATTGAAGAGATACATTCAACACTTTTTAGAAAACAAAAGCTACAACTAAGCAGAACTTTAAAATGCTTTTAAAATACAGAGAAACTGCCAAGATTTAGAGCTCAATTAACATTCCATTCATCAAATACTTACTGATCACCGATATACTGGTGAATCATACCCTTAGTTCCTTGCTCTTCTGGGCCTCATAGCTAGTAAGGAAAAGTTACAATTAAATAAGTATGTAGAGGACCAGGAAGAAGTTTCAGGTGCCATGGGAACAGGTACCAGGAGAATGTAACCCAACTGAGGGAGAATGGGTTCGGAGGGGTTAATGAAGACTTCCCTCAGGAGGTGATGTTCAGCTGAGACCTAGAGAATAGGTCATAATTAGCCAGGTGAAGTGGGAGGTGGAGGTGGTATCAAGGGAGAGATGGGGGAAGTGATCCACATAGAGGGAACACTGTGCAGAGAAGGTTCTGGAGGCAGGATGGAGGAGTATGGTGTGAACTGATGGGGACCTGCACCTGGAGCCAAAAGAGTGAGAGGAGAAGACCGTTGATAAGCAGAGGCTCCCTTTGAGTAATTAAATAATAAAAATAACCAGAGTTGACGGAAGTATATTTAGGCGACCTTCTTTCACATCAACTTTTTTAGCGAAAATATTAAAACAAAAGCATACTTTTCATTTAGCAACATTGCATTGATATAAAGGTTAATAAGCTAATAAAATCGTAAACTGAATTGCAGCTGTCACTCTTAAACCTACCAAGCAGGTGGACATCATGGTTAAAGTAAGTTTAGATTCAGTGTGTCAATATTATAGTCCTTTTTTAAAAAAAACATTTATTTATTAATTTGACACTGAGAGATAGAGATCACAGGTAGGCAAAGAGGCAGGCGGGGGGGTGGTGGGTGGGAAGCAGGCCCTCCACTGAGCAGAGAGCCTGACTCGGGGCTCGATCTCAGGACCCCGAGATCATGACCTGAGCCAAGGCAGAGGCTTCACCCACAGAGCCACCCAGGCGCCCCTATTATAGTCTTCTTATTGCTTCCTTGTAACTGTGATACTCCTCTGTGAATTAAACTCTGATATTGAATATTGGAATTTATTAGCGTAAGAAGTTAATCTTCAGAAATCAGAAGCAGTTCTGATCTAAGTAAATATTTCTGCAATTTATTAGCACCAAACTGCAAGAGTTTCAGAAATCAAAGTAAGCTGCTGAAAGGAGAAGAGAGAGAATTATCTGTAGGACTTAGAGGTATGAATTGTGACACTGAAGAAACCTAATTTAAAATCACTATCTTAGTGAATTGATTTTGTTCTTCAGGGATGCTCTCAACTTTGTCGTCTTCCATGGGAACTTAGTAATCTAACCAGGACCCAGGTAAAATACCTGGTATTAATAATAGTCACCAATTTTGGTTGTTCAAGCAGCAGTGAAGGGACATGTCTGTTTGAAATGGAATACTGAGCCCAAGCAAATTTTGTCACCTTTGAAACCTTACATGGCTTAGGAAGACAAGAACAAAGCCCAGTGGCTAAATACTATTTAAAGCTTCTTGGCAAAAATTCTAGTAACCAAAATGAGCTAATTTTGGTTTCAAAGAGTGTTTTTTCATAAAAGTAAACTGAGGAAACGAACATGTTGACTGAGTAATTTGAGCTGTAATTATGACACTTAAGTGTCTAAACCAGCAGTTCTTTTGCCACTTTTTCAATATTATTTTAATATTTAATAATGATTTTCTGGGCAGTTAAAAGTTTTGCATTGCTTTTTAAATGTTCTATGCCATGGGCTTGGAAAGCAGACATGAGATGGATTTTTTGGAATAGGTATCTACATTTTAACTTTTTGGTTTGTTACCTGATTTGTACCCCTTCCCTCTTATTTTCTATTCTGCTTTTACTCTGAGAAATGCTTAGATTTCAGTGGACACTGTTCATCAGGTAGTCAAGTTTGTTAAAATACATCTTTTGGGCCCACCTTATATCTCTTGAATGACAGTCTGCAAGATCTGGAAATCTGCATTTTTAACCAGTTTACCAACTAATCCCTTCATGTGTTAAAGTTCGAGAAGGGATTATCCCTGTGGAGTATTTTTTCCAGATTGTGCCCAAGGACATAAGGTTGTGTGTGCTGTTATAGCTTTCCCTCATTATTCCTACTTTTCCTTAGCTGTTAATTGAATCATCCAGCGGTAATCTACAGTCTTTTTTTGCTTAACATATTTTACTTTCACATTTCTTAGTTGATATGAAGAGATCTGTGTAATTTTGATATTGGAGGAAGGAGGATTGTAAGCACCATCATCATGTTAGATGCTGCAAGATGCTGAAGAAATCATACGGGAAAAAGTGAACACCTTCCGGGACCAGTATTTGTCAAAGATCAGGGTCTTTGTGACATAAATATCTTTCCACCTATAAGGGAAGACTGAAATGGAAAAGAGACTGTATAAGAAGAGGGGACTTCTTGGGGCACCTGGGTGGCTCAGTGGGTTAAGCCTCTGTCTTTGGCTCAGGACATGATCTCATGGGTCCTGGGATTGAGCCCCGCAACGGGTTCCCTGCTCAGCAGGGAACCTGCTTCCCCCTGCCCCCGCCTACTTGTGATCTCTCTCTCTCTGTCAATAAATAAATAAAATCTTAAAAAAAAATCTTGGAGGATTTTAAAAAGGAGTCCCTCCTTCAAAGTCATTAAAAATACAGATCTAATAACTTTCTGTATGCCCTGGGATACCAGGGTGGCTCAGTCCGTTAAGCTGCTGCCTTCGGCTTAGGTCATGATCCCAGGGTTCTGCGATTGAGTCCCACATCAGGCTTCTTGCTTATTGGGGGAGCCTGCTTCTCTCTCTGCCTCTGCCTGCCACCCTGCCTACTTGTGCTCTCTCTCTCTCCCTCTCTGACAAATAAATAAATAAATAAAATCTTTTAAAAAACAAAAACAAAAACTTTATGCCCTAAGTCTCTATTACTCCATGTTTTTGATCCCCCAGATTGGAAGTTCCCAGAAAGTCAGCAGTTACACCATGAGTATCTTGACATATTTTGTGGTACCCAGATCTAGGTCTTGCATATAATATGGCCAAATTTTTGAATAGACAAGTTGTGTTAATTTTTAATTCCTAGTAGGAATTTCTCCCTTTGCATTCCTTATTTTAGATGTTCTTTACATTACAAACATATAATTCAGTTGGCACTTATTTATATAAATGTCTTCTTACTAAGCAGTTCCTGTGTGGCCTGAGTTTCTCATAATGAAACATAGGACCTTTTGGTATAGTTACTTTGCTTTGGGGACTAATATGTGATTGATTAAACTAAGCAGAACAAAATGTCTCCTTTAGGCCTCTCCCTGTGTGAGTCACAGCCTCGTGAATCCCGGCAATAAAGAGGGGAAAGTGTGTAATAATGTATTTGAAAATGCCACTTGGAATCTGGAGCCTTCCTGGTTCATTGTCTCCAGAGAGTAAACTGTCTCCTGCAGGAGCAGGAGGGGCTTCCAGAGAGAGGGGAGGAATTTGGGCATCTTTCTTCCTGGATAAATGAATTTTCAACAGTTATCCTGGTTTCAGCCCTATTCTTCAGTCCGCTTTCACTTCCCCTTAGGTAGACTTTGCTGTATGTATGTGCTCTGTAGGGATATGCTGTTTCCTAATTAACACACTCTTCCACAGGCATCTGGGTTTCGGATGGCTCTACTCTGCTTAGTTAGTTAACTTGTTCTGTTTTACTTCCTTCAAAAAATGATTGATGTCTCTCCTCTTTATCTTCTTTGTTTTCTTTTTCATCCTGGATTTATACCTTTTTTTAAATCAAGTTTATCAAATTAGTGGATTTCAAGTGGGAACTGAAGTAAATGTATGTGTTTTGAAGGATTCCATCTAGATCCTTCTTTCCATCTATTTGGAAATACATTTTTTCTTGTAAGTGTGTGAAATAAAAGCCCCCACTAGGGCAAATTTTCAACATAACCGTGTGGTTTAATTTTAGTCTTGATCATTGAGGTCTTGTGCCAAGAAATGGAAATCCAAACTTTTTTGTGCCATTTGTGTTATATTCTACTCTTTGGCATGATTTCTGATATCAGAGATGATTTTGTTTTGCTTCTGTGGTCTTTATGGGCCATTGTACTGCCAAAAATCTTAAGAGTCTCTAGCAAACTTTTTTGATTATAATAACTAGTTATGGTAGTCAGCAGTCTATGATTTTAATTACCACGTAGGTGTTTTTTTCTCTGTCTCCCCCCAGTTTTTAGTCAGAGTGTTATTTCAGATCTGGGGTAGAATAGGAATGATAATATATCTGGGCTGTTATTGAAAGAGAACTGCCGTTTTTATCCTTTTCATTTTTTTTCTTGTTGTACCTATTTTATTATTATTTTTAACCTGAAGAGTAATTTTAACCCTTAAGTTGGTTTACATACACGTGTGATCTTTACTTGCCAAGTGTTTCTTCTGTAATTTGACCTGCATTGTAATTGTATTTTTATGTATTTATTTGTACAGTGTTGCATAATCTGATCCAATATTGGAAACCTAAATTAGTTTGTGGTATCTTACACTAAAGTGTTATCGATGGGTATTTTTCAGATGTGGTTTTTCAAATTCTTATTTTAATAGTCTAAAGGAAATGCTGGTGTAACACTGCTGTTTGGATATTAGGCTGCTTTCTGTTTTAGATTGCAATCAAGAATAAATTAATTTTATTAAACTTCTATATTTCCTTGTATTTGCTCTTTTTTCCTTTCCTACACATTTAAGTTTATGAAAAGGCTTACATGTGGTTTGATTTCAAAATGTCTCTGAATTATATTGAACGATTCAAAAATTCATATCAAATTTTGTCTTCTGTTTTCAGGTTCTGTTCTAGACATTATTAAGTACATTGTGGCAAAGGGGGAGCACAAAAGTGGAGTCCTAGATGAACCTACCATTGCTACAATACTCAAAGAAGTGCTGGAAGGGTTGGAATACCTGCATAAAAATGGACAGATTCACAGGTACGTAAAAGACAACTCTGCTTTTTTGGGAAAATGCATTGGTAGTTGTGCTGTATCATTTTGTTGAGACCATTCCCCATTCTTCTGCAGAATTGATCATAATCTCTGAGTGTTACCATGCTTTTTGTATCACTAGTTTCAGCACATTGTGCTTAGGGTTTTAGTTAAACAGCTAGCAAGTATTTAAAAAGAAACAAATATTTTAGTCAAATTGGAAAATACAAAAACATCATTTCATGCTGTCAAGAGGCAAGCATCACAGTCACTGGTGACATTTTGTAGTATTTCTTTCCAGTTTCTTTTATATGGTTAAAAGATATATAAAACAGAACTATGTATAATTTTGTCTGTTGCTTTTATTGTTATTTTACCTTGAGTGTTTTCTCAAATTATTAAAAGCTCTTTATAAAATAATGTTTTATTAAGACTTCTTTTTTTTTTTTTTTAAGATTTTATTTATTTATTTGACAGACAGAAATCACAAGTAGGCAGAGAGGCAGGCAGAGAGAGAGGAGGAAGCAGGCTCCCTGCCAAGCAGAGAGCCTGATGCGGGGCTCAATCCCAGTACCCTGGGATCATGACCTGAGCCGAAGGCAGAGGCTTTAACCCACTGAGCCACCCAGGTGCCCCCCTTCCCTCCCCCCCCTTTTTTTTAAATGTGAAAAGATATGTATCATTGCATGGTCCAAGTATTCCTGGCTGCCTCTCTCTATTCAGCCCCTCAGTAGAGATAATAAGAATCCAAATGATGATGGAATCTGTGTTACCCAAATCTATTTAATCCCTGGATTTGGCTTCCTTCATATCAGGCAATCTTTTTAGTCATTCTTAAGGATAGTCTCACTGGATATAAGAATTTGCTGCTGACAGTGCTTTTCTCTCAGCAATTGAAAGATGCTGAATTACTTAATTCTGGCCTCCAGGGTTTCAGATGAGAAGTCTGTAGTTTGGATTGATCTTCTCATAATGTTATTTTTCCTTAGCGTCTTTCAAGATTTTTTTGTCTTGGTTTTTGAAGTTTGATTGTGATATCTTGGTTATGGATTTCTTCAGCTTTATTCTGTGTTGGGTTCCCAAACTTCTTGAGTCCATAGGATTTTGCCTTTCACCGAGTCTGGGAAGTTTTCAGCCGTTATATCTTTGGCTAGTTTTTTCAACCCATTATTTCCCTCCTCTTTTTCTGGGACTCTGTTAATACAAATGTTACCTATTTTGTTATTGTACCTTAAGCCCTGAGGCTCAGCTCAATTTTTGTCATCTTATTTTTTTTCTCTGTTCAGATTGAGTAAATTTTCTTGCTTTGTTCTCAGGTTCTGATTCTGACCTCTGCATTCTGGGCTAGAACCGATTGAGTTTTTTCAGTTATTATACTTTTTTAGATAATTTTGTTCTTTTTTATGGCTTTTTTTTGCTGAGATTTTCTGTTTTTCATGTTTTGAAAATCCCAAACTGCATGTTGAAGCATTTTTATAATGGCTGCTTTAAAATTCTTGTCAGATAATTCCAAGATCTGACTGATCTCCATGTTGATGTCAGTTGTCTTCTCTTATTAAAGTTCTTCCTGGTTCTTGGTATGATAAGTGATTTCTTTAATTGTATCCTGGATATTTTGGGTATGTGTTTAGAGACTCTTGATCTCATTTAAATATATAATTTAGCAGGTGTTTTCCCTGTTTGGGTAAATATAAGTCTTGGTGTATTTTGGTGAGCTGTAGTTCCAGTGACAGTTTGAGTTTTAGAGCTCTTACAGTGCTCTTCTGGTTTGTTTTGTTCACCTGGCACTGCTGGGGGGTTCTACTCAATTTCTGCTGATATAACCATTGAGACCAAAAGTGTGCGTCCCTGGGTCTGGTGCTGCTAGGTGGAAGGTGGGAGATAGACGCTGTACCTGTGGGTCTGTGAGCACTTTTGTGGGCGTACTCTATGGGCCAGGCCACTCGTGCCAGTGGGGCTCCCATTCGTTCTCTGATGGTATTGCCTGTGGGGTTGAAGGCATATGCCTGAGCCACCTTTTGTTGCTGGGTTGAGAGTTGGGAGACACTGGGCCTGGGTTGTCCTTTGCCACTGTGTGGAGGGCCAGAAAGTGTTGGGCCTGGATTGTTCTCTGCAGCTGGGTAGCAGGCTGGGGTTGCTGGTGGGGCTATTGGTGCTGCTGGTGTGGGCAATACAGGCCTACTTGCTGCAGTGGCTATAGGGTGGAGAATGGGGTTTTCCATTTGGTTCTTCATTTAAACCTCTGGTTCAAGGGACGCCTGGGTGACTGAGTTGGTTAAGCATCTGCCTTCGGCTCAGGTTGTAATTCCAGGATCCTGGGATCGAGTTCCGTGTTGGGCTCTGAGCTCTGTGAGGAGCCTGCTTCTCCTTCCCCCCGACTTGTGCTCTTTAGCTCTCTCTGTATCTCTCAAATAAATAAATAAAATCTTTAAAAACCAACCAACCAACCAACCACCCAGCCTCTGGTTCTGACATAGTGGGCCATCTTGCAACTCCAGCTATGGGTTCCTTTGCTAAGTCTGTGCTAGGTTGGCTCTTTGCTGCTCCTTTGGCTACAGAGAGCAGGCTTCCAGGGTTTTTTTCGCTTTTGTTTTTGTTTGTTTGTCATCTATGCCCATTGATGCTAGTCCACAGTTCAGGATATGTGAGATGAAAAGAAAACTCAGAGAAGTTGTATAGTGCTCCTATAGTGCTGCTGTACACTTCAGATTAGTGTAAATGTTTATAGCAAACTCTAGGGCAGCCACTAAAAAAAAGAAAAAAAGAATTGATATACTGAGAGGGGAGGAAAATGGAATCTTGTAAAATGCTTAGTTAAAATCAAGGCAGAAAAAAGGTAGAAGATAAAACAAGATTGTTATCTTAAAAATCATCTACCTTTAAGGAACTAGAAAAGAAAAATAAGAATAAATTAAGCCCAAAGTTAGCAGAAAGAAATAAATAAAAAGATCAGAATAGAAATACACGAAATGCAGATGTTTCAGATGTGACACTAATAGCAAAGGCATCAAAAGAAAAATTAAACAACTGGGACCACACCAAGCTAAAAAGCTTCATGGCAAAGCACACCATCAACAAAATGAAAAGGCAACCTGTGGAATGGGAGAAAATATTTGCAAACCACATTATCCAATAAGGGGTTAATATCCAAAAATGTACAAGGAACTCCTACAACTTAGAGACAAAAAACCATAAATAACCTAACTAAATATGAGCAAAGGTTCCAAATGGACATTTTCCCAAAAAACGATATACAAGAAAAAGTACTCTGCATCATAATCTTGGGGAAATATAGTCAGAACGACAATAAGATACCATCTCATGGGGCGCCTGGGTGGCTCAGTGGGTTAAAGCCTCTGCCTTCGGCTCGGGTCATGATCTCAGGGTCCTGGGATCGAGCCCCGCATCGGGCTCTCTGCTCTGCGAGGAGCCTGCTTAAAAAAAAAAAAAAAAAAGATACCATCTCACATCTGTTAGGATATCTGTTTTCTTTTTTTTTTTTTTAAGATTTTTTATTTATTTATTTGACAGAGAGATCACAAGCAGGCAGAGAGGCAGGCAGAGAGAGAGGAGGAAGCAGGCCACCCTAGAGAGCAGAGAGCCCGATGCGGGGCTTGATCCCAGGACTCTGAGATCATGACCCGATCCGAAGGCAGCGGCTTAACCCACTGAGCCACCCAGGCGCCCCAGGGTATCTGTTTTCCAAAAAGAGATAACAGATCCTGGATGAGGATGTGGAGGAAAGAGAATGTCGGCGCACTGATGGTGGCAGCGTCAACTAGTATAGCCGTTGTGGGAAACAGTAGGGAGGTTCCGCAGAAAAATTAAAAATAGAACTACCATATGATCCAGCAATGCCACTTCTGGGTTTATTTATTTATTTTTTTTTAAAGATTTTATTTCTTTGACAGAGAGAGATCACAAGTAGACAGAGAGGCAGGCAGAGAGAGAGGGAGGGAAGTAGGCTCCCTGCTGAGCAGAGAGCCCGATGCAGGACTCGATCCCAGGACCCTGAGACCATGACCCGAGCCGAAGGCAGCGGCTTAACCCACTGAGCCACCCAGGCGCCCCGCCACTTCTGGGTTTATATCCAAAAGCAGTGTGAAATCACTGTCTCAGAGCCAAGCTATGAAAATGACTTAAGTATCCATCAGTGGATGAATGGATAAAGATGTGGATTATTATTGAGCCGTTTAAAAAAAAAAAAGGGAATCTTGCAGTTTATGACAACATGGATGAACCTGGAATGCATTATGCTAAGTGAATTAAGCCAGACAGAGAAAGACGAATACTGCATGGTATCACTTACAAGTAGAATGTTTAAAAAAAAAGTCAAATTCATAGGAACAGATAGTAGAAAAGTGGTTGCCAGCTACTGGATGGTCAGGGAAATAGGGAGACAGTGATAAAAGGTTACAAACTTCAGTTATAAGATGAGTAAGTTCTGCTTAAAGAGTAGAACTTAAATGTTCTCACCAAAAAGTAAATATGTGAGGTGACGGATGTGTTAATTAAATCGATGAGGAGAATACTTTCCCAGTGTATACATATATCAGACTATCACATTGTAACACTTTAAATATCTTACAGTTTTGTCAGTTTTCAAAAAAATCACCTAGTTAACCCGAATCCTTCGCCAAAAATAAGCAAAGACCCAGAAAAATAACTGATTAAAGATCAGGCAACTGGGACCCCTGCATGGTTCAGTTAGGTTTCTGCCTTCGGCTAAGGTCATGATCCCAGGGTTCTGGGATCAAGTCCAGCATCCGTCTCCTTGCCTCTCCTGCTCCCTTTGCTTGTGCTCTCTTTCTCTCTCTCTGACAAATAAATAAGTAAAATCTTAAAAAAAAAAAAAAATTAAAGATCAGACAACTATCAGGTGCTAAAACTGAGGTTTCAAAGAGTAATCAGGGGGCGCCTGGGTGACTCAGTGGGTTAAGCCTCTGCCTTCAGCTTGGGTCCTGGTCTCAGGGTCCTGGGATCAAGCCCCACCTGGGATTGAGCCC